AGTTCTTTGCTGTGGTGTCATCCCTCCTTTGTTGTCATTGTAAAGTGTTTCTGGTTTGTGACATTACAGAGAAGAAAATACAAAAGATTATTTTAAAATAAAGTCTAGCACTTTGGGTGGAGCGACAGTTTTAGCTAAATGAAGATTTGTCATATAATGAGGTTAAATTAGTAAATAGTATCTTGGATTTAGCTGTTGTTTGTCACATTGCCTGACCCTGCATGCCCAGCCGTTTTCATGTCCCCATCCTGAGATGCCCTCTGTGTCCTTGGTCTTTCTCCATTGATACAGGGCGCATCCATAGGATTTCCAGCATCCGCAGGATTTCTCCTGAATGGGCACTGCAGACTTAGCAGCTCTAGATTTCCGATGCTATGATAACCTCCCGAGCTTCTTTGAAGCTTACTCTGTATGATGAATTCACATCTCTGCCAGACAGCATCAGGAAAGTAGAAAGAGCTCTTACCGTCAGGGTTATTTTCACTGTGACAACCGTCATTCTGTCCACCTGAGATGTCTGTGTAATGTGAGCAGGTGGTAAAGAACGGTATGGGCAGAAGGGGAAAAAAAAAAGTTTACAGAAATGCACCAGATAGAGAAGAATGTGGTTTATATAAACCCACTTTGTGAGACAAACTGATTAGGATCCCATTTGTGTGCTTGCCTGTCCCCTTCACCTTCAGTGTCCACTCGAATCTGTGCATTGGTTTACCTCCCAGAGTCTGGCAAATCTTCCAATATCATAAAACATCTTTATTTGCTCTTAAGAAAGGCTCTACGACAACCATATTTGCTTGCTTACCCTTTGAGGCAGAACCTGAAGACCAGAACTGCCCAGACAACATAAAATAATGTTCCTTTGAGTATTTAAATACATCTACGTTTGAGCAGAACGATTTTATACATGTAATACAGGAGTTAATGGATATTTGCCAACATAGCAGACTACAAGCAGACATCATGGTTTATTTTTGGGAAATGGATTTAAGTTCAAACAGGCAAAACTTTATTTTTAACATTTTGCTTATGTAATATAATAGAAACGCGTAACATGATTGTGAGTTCAGTCTGAAAGAGAAGGTCTGCAATGTGTGTGAAAAAACCCTATCTAAAAACAAGTAACTCACTAAATCTACATTCCCTGCTCAACTGGAAATAACACAAAGAAACTTTTGGGGCGTGATAATATAGAACACTGGTTTCCAATGATTTGGTATAACACCTTTGACTGTTGTGTGTAAGCAATGACGCAAAATATTTCAAAATGTTTTCAGTTATCTGCCAATCACTTGGAATATATCTGTATTTATGTGGTTTTTTTCTGTTACTTTGATTATAAGACATTTTACTGCTGTTTATTCAATAATTGTGAGCAACTGAAGCTTGTTCAGTCTAAGTTGAAATATTTGAAGTAAAATAGATGCAGTTTCCTTCTCTTTTTACCTCATTCAGTCATGTAGCGAACAACAGTAAGATGGAATTAATATCCGAATCATTTTTCACTAATACAGGCTTGCAGCCTTGGATTTAACATTGACTTCATTGGAATTAGTTCAAAAATATGCTGATGCCCCAGAGCTTCTTTGGTATGTGCCAAAGACGTCACTTGAAAATACTGAATTGGACTCCGAATGTGCTGCTTGGTGTGTCTGAGATGAGAATTTGTCCTCTGGCAAAAGCTTTGCTAAATGCCCTCTTGAATGGGTTCTGCATTCTGAATCCCCTAACACTAAATTTTATGAATGAATAATCAAGTAATTAAAAAAAAAATTTAACTCACAGAATGAACCAGAGCAAACACCTCCTTGCTTGCAAACACCTTGTGATTATGCTTGTGCATAATCACCTTTTTCCCTCAGTCAGTAGATTCTACTTACACTGTACCAGGGTCTCCGTTTCTCATTGATGACTCCCTGAAAAGAAGCTGCATCCCTCCAAAAAGCTGCGTGCAGGAGCACAGGCCATTGCAGCAGGTACGTCAGGTAGGTACCGTGTGGGAATCAGCTTTTGGGCCTTGCTAGGGGGTCAGGGTGGGAGCTTTGGGGGCTTTTCACGACTATCTACTACGACAACCTCAAACTTCTGCGCCAAGCCCTGTTTCATTCTCTTAGCGAGCCAGAGTATCGACGGGCAGGAACACGGATGACGGATTTAGGATGTTCCGGCACTTCCAGCTTTAACACACCGGGGATGTTTCTCAGCAGCTGCCCTGTCCTGCTGTCACCAAATTCTCACCGACGAGTCTGGGACCGTGCGGTCTGATCCTGCACCACAAACCAGTTGCAGAGCCGTGGTCGGGGGAGCGTTTGAGAGTGAGGTCTCCGGTGCCGATAGTGTAATTCGGCGTGCTCTGTGCTGCGGCACGGTGTCACGCCGGGGAGGACGGGCACTAGAGCTGAGGCTCTGCAGCTTTGCTCATGACTTCTATGACATCAGAGCTCTGGATGAGCAAGGATTATCGATAACTTCCGAAACTATGCTGAGAAAGATACCTGCGGCTCTGTTTGCAGCGCTGTTATAAAATGTGAGAAGCCTTGTTCAATCGAGTTTAATGACTAGGAATCTGAGGCCGACTCCTTCATCCAACAGCCGTGAGTAATAACGCTCACATGAACAAGTTTCACTGGCAGGACTCTAACCGACCTGGAGTAGGAAAATCATCTACTCCGAAGCTCTGAGCAGCTCCCTGTTGGAGTTGAATTATTTTCCACCTGGGGGAATTGTTCGGAGTTCCCGGTGTGTAGACAGGGTTTGAATTATCTCTTAATTAAGCTGGGTCACGTCCCAGCTGAGCTAACCGTTCGACTGCTAGTAGCACTTGCTCAAACCTGGTCAGCAACGGGTTAGTTTTACGGCCGGGAAGAGTCTTCCGAGTATCCTTTTCCCAGTTTAGCTGGTTTTCTCCTACCAGTAAAAGCTGTGCGGAGCTGTACTCCCAGCAGCACCACTTGTAATATTTTCCCTGAAAAATTACCCCAGAACATCTTTTATCCTCAAAAATCCTTTTCACAACTGTATATGAGCCTGGTCCGAGATTTTTGGCGCTTGCACCCTCCTTGAACGAAGGGAGATGAAGACCCGGAGCTGGGGGTACCCGCACCCTCCCTGCAAGCTTCAGCATCCCCCCCCCCGCCCATCACCGTCCCCTCGGGGCTCCGCACCGCGGAGCCGGTTCCACTGCTGCTGGATCTGTCCCAGGCTGGGGACAGCGGGGCCGGCACCGGGAGGAAGGAGCCGGGGATGGGGGGGGGACCGGAGCCCGGGCACCCCGGTCCTCGGGCAGCGATGCGGGGAGGGGGGACCCGCAGCCGGCCCCGCGGGGAAGGGTTTTGGGGAGGGTGCGTCCCCTCTGTTTGCTCCCCAAAATCGCTCCGGAAAACGCGGAGTTTCTTAAAATTGTCCCTGCCAAGGCAGTCGTCAGGTTTCTGGGCTGAAAGTTTAGAAAAAAAAAAAAGAATCCAACCCAACCAACCCAACAACGAAACAAATGAAAAAAATCCAAACTCACCAAAAACTAGTGGAAAGAGAGAGCTCTTCCCCGGCGTGGACTTTGGGATCACGCAGGGAGTGTGGAAGCGGGATAAAAGCGTCCCTTCGGCACGGGGCTAGGAGCTGGTGGTATGGCTGTGGCCAGCTCGGGATGGTCAAAGCAGTTACAGGCTTTTTCTTTGAAATTAAGCAAAAAAAAAAGCAATAAGGATTATACAAGACCGACTTTGATACTAGTTCAAAAGTAATCAGCGGAAAGGCGATGGAAAGATTATTTTTTAAAGTGGCGGAATCTGAATGAAAGAGCCGATTTATTAAATTTACATAAGTCCAAAATATCGGACTCCCCGTCTGCGGAAACCCAGGAGAGGTCTCAGATTCTCTACGAGAGAAAAAAAGACGAGGGTTTTGGTTTTGGTTTGGGGTTGTTTTTGGTTTTTTTTCCTTAATATTGCCCAACGGCAATCGGCAAAGCCAATTAAGAAAATGCAAACGAGGGAACGAAGAAGGGATATACCCTCTCTCGTACAAGACTAATAAAGTTTATTTGCGTATGAGAAATACGCTCTCAGAGTAAACGGAACGAAAAAAGGATGAGGGAAGGCATCCCTCGAAACGCCTCAGGAGCCAGGCGTTTTCCAGAGGAAACTTAAAAAAATTCCGCCGAAAACCAGGGACTCGCCACCACGGAAAGCCGCCGTTTCCTTAAAGTTTATTGATTGATTTAAAGTGTTTAGCAAACAAAGTGCTTTCTGTATCATCTCTTGCTCATTACTCCCATACCTTATACATTAATTATAAAGTTAAAACTTTTTTTTTTTTCTCGTAACAACCAGAAATATACAGAAATGATGAACGTAAAAAACCAACCCCGCGCCCCAGCAGCCGCCCCTTCCCCGCGTGTCCGCAGCGGCTCGTCCAGGTTCGGGGTTCGTTGAAGAGTGACGTATGTAAAAAAACACCCTTCGTCACCGTGAGGTCACGGGAGAGAGCGGCGCGTCGTTGCCTCAGCAATGTCGAGGGACAGGACCGATAGTTCTCTGTTTTACCCTGAGAGTCAAATGGGTACGTAATCTTTTTTTTTTTTTTTTTCCCCAGAAGTCTTTTATGAGTGGGCAGACCAGAATAAAACCGAAGGCAAAAACCAAACCCAAAATAATGAAAATAACCAAACCCACATAGCAACGGGGGACGGTGAAAATAAAAATACAGGTAACGATGATTTACATCTACTTGTATGTACACGGGGGAGGGAGGTTTTCCTCTTCTTCTTCCTCCTCCTCCTCCTCCCCCTCGGAAGCGCAGTCCGGACACATCCCGTATAAAAAGGGTCGTAGAAACGATGGCGGGCGCTGGGGGGGGGACACGGAGGGGAGCCCCTGGCCGCCCCTGGCCCCCCTTTGTCCCCCCTCCCCGATGCCGCTGCCTTCGGGGGAAGGAAGCGGCGGGGCGACCGGTGGCCCAGCGGGAAGGGGCCGAGGAGGAGGAGGAGGAGGAAGGGGTCGTCGGGCTTATAGGTGCGGGGTGTAGAAAGCCGGAGCGCCGTAAGTCTGCGAGCCCAGGACGAAGGGCGAGAGGACGGCGGGGCTGGGCAGAAAGGGCAGCTGGGCGGCGCAGACCAGCCCGCCGGCGGGGTGCCCGGCGTAGCTACCGGGGCCGTGCATGGAGAGCGGGTTGCCCATGGGCGGCGAGTGGCTGAGGGGGCTG